CATAACCATGATCATCATCATCATCATCATCACAATCATCATCATAATCAGCATCATCAGCATCATCACCACCATCACCATCACCATCACCATCACCATCACCATCACCATCACCATCATAATCAGCATCATCAGCAGCATCAGCATCATCAGCAGCAGCATCATCATCATCATAATCAGCATCATCATGATCATCCACAACATCATTCTTAACATCATCATCAGCACCGCCATCATCGTACCATCATTATACCGTCACCAGATCATTAGTACCATCATCATCATCAGCATCATCACCATCAGTATCATCACCATCATCAACAACATCAAATCAACATCGTCACCATCATCATTATCCTGCTACTTCTCGTCATCTTCCTCCTGGCCTGAGACTGCCATAGAACGCATGAAGCGTACTGGGCACATACAAGCAGCAGAAAGAAACATCAAGCGATGTAGGGGGCGGACCAGTCAGAGTAATCGACGATCAGAATTGCTTCGCTATGGTAGGTGTGCGTTCAGGTTCGGGGTGCGAGCTAAGGTATGATATGGCTTGGCAGGGTCGGGCAGGAGTGAGCGGGGGGAGGGCGAGAGAAAGGGGGAGGCAGGATAACGGAGAAGGGAAAGACGGAGAAAAGGAGAGGCGATTGGAAGAGGGAAGGAACGAACGAACGAACGAACCATCACAGCGTACAGCTGTCCAGGCCTGCCAAGACCAGGTGGGTGAGGCTATGGCCTCCTGTAGACATACAAACATGCATTGGAACTGCGAGACGTACAACAAGTTATGAAACTGTGCAACACACAACAAGTCATGACGGAGGGGGAGTAGAGGAGGAAGTCCTGATTGTGACTGTCGGCGAAGTGTTGATGTATTTGCGCTTGAGTGTCGACCACGTGGAGATGTCTTGAGCTGAGCGAACCCAAGAGAGCTCGTTCGGTTTGCCTTTCGATACGGTTGGTGTGCGCGTTGGATGCCGGTCGGGTCCGTGCTGTTGGAGGAAACTGCCGGCGTCGCCGTCCCAGCGCTTGCGCTGGCCGCCGTGTTGTCTCTGTCCGCGTTGGCGTGAATTCTCTCCTGGTCGCCAACGGAGTGCACACCACGTCTACATGGTGGGCCCGTGGTTGGCAACCATCGATGCCATGCGCCACAATCTCTCTGTGAAGCGACTCGCAATGCTCAACGTGGTGCTGCTGCAAGATCCCGCGCCCTAGCTGACTCCCGTTTGCATTGACCCCCGTCTCTTGAGCCCCGAGGCCTCGGGGTCATGGGATGCCCAGCAGGAGAGACGCCCCCCGGGGTGCTGGAGGCGCTCCAGAGGACCAAAACATGGCCGCGCGCGGGGCCGACGGCGGCCAAGATACCGACGACTGGCAGCACGCAAAGAGGGAGGCGGGCGTGCAGGGTAGCCTTCTCCGAAGGCAAGAGGCTTCTCACGAGGCAGCGCCCGCTTCGAGAGCCATGTTCCCGGAGGCGGGGGACACTCTCAGATGTGGAGGCCACCTAAATAGAGCTCGTGTGGATGGGGTCGAGGATCGCGCCGCATCGCGGATGCATCCGCGACACATCGGCTACGCATCGGCGACGTGGGGATGTAGGAAATCTAACCAAGAATCAAGCCGCATCGGTAATGCATCGGCGATGCGGTGCGATCCTCCGACCCCATCTACTCGGACCCCACTTGGGCGGCCTGGAACTTTGATCGCCGCCAGAACAAGACAGGGCCCCTCCCCGCGACGGGGGGCTCACCACATGGGGAGCTTCTCCGTCTTCAGCATCTTCTCCGTGTAGCAGCCCGCGAGGCCGGACCTGTCGCCGCCACCCAGTCCCGGGCACCCTCTGGGCCTCTCGGGGCGAGGCAGAAGCAATGGCGTCGGCGCGGGGCCCGATCGAAGGCGCCAGCCGTCGAGCTGTCACTCTCATGGCTCGCTTGAGCCCAAGTCTGGGGTGGAGGGCGGCGGCGATGATGCATACGATACTACGGCGCACCATGCGCATCGTGCCCGGGTCCCTCCAGGAAGGAATATCACGTTATGCTCGCAGTTGGTCAGAGGGGCCCATGAGGTCATATGCCCAGAGGCAGAGAATGTCTCCCTATCATGCCTCGTCTCGTTCTCTCTCTCTCTCTCTCTTCTTTATTTCTCTCTCTCTCTCTTTCTCTCTTCAGGGCTTAAAACAAGGACCGCCGATATACGCATCGTTCTCGGAAATCTGGAGAGCCCCGGACAATTACTTTATTTTCCGTTATCGCCGCGACGGGAGCGGACAAACAAGGGCTTAAGAACTGGCCAGGCCGCGGCCACGTTGACTGGACACCTGACGGGCAGGCACAAGAAGAGGGCGGCTGCGGAGAAGGACTGCTCAGCGGCAAGCGAGGGGGGAAGTGAGAAGAAAGCCTTATGTGAAGGCGGCAGGGTTTCTCAAAGCCCTCTCGCCTTCTAAGAAATTGCAGGTGACTTTCTGGAAGGCTAGAAAGCCTCTCTGAAGACTGGAGGTCTTCCGAGCCTTCTGAGAAGGGCCTCTCCCTCTCACTTCCCCCCAAGGCTCGCCGCCGAACTATGGGAGAGCACCTTTTTTTGTGCTTCGCGACCAGCGGCCGCTACTGGCTCGGGCCGCCCCCACCCCTCCTCGCACCCGGGGCAACGTCACGACTCGTGCTGACGTCCGAGTGATCTCTGGTTCTTCCTGAACGTTCCCAGGCGGCGCCTGCGCAAAACGTGACGTGATCGGCCCCCCTCTCCCTCCCCCCCCCCCCGGCCCCCCCCCCTCCCCCCCCCGGCCACGCCCGGTATCGTCCGGGAAAACGACAACGCTCTCCAGGAGAGGGGCACGCTCAGAACATGTTCACCTGTGCTCTTGACGGCCGCCCCGGAAAAAGACAGAGCACGACCATAAATCCACGAGGGGAGATGAAACGGGGCCTCGGCCCAGACAGGTCCTCCAGAGGTTCGGCCGAGGCTCTGAACATTTCCCAGAGGGTCTCGCAGACTGCAGGAGCCGCTCAGAATTCTTGAGACGCAGCTCCTTGGAGCTCCTCGGATACCCCTCATCGAAGCATCGCTCCTGCTACTCCTCCTCTTCCTCTTCCTCTGCTTCTTCCTCCTCCTCCTCCTCCTCCTCCTCCTCCTCCTCCTCATCATCATCATCATCATCATCATCATCATCATCATCATCATCATCATCATCATCATCAGCATCAGCATCATCATCATCATCATCATCATCATCATCATCATCATCATCATCATCATCATCATCATCATCAGCATCAGCAGCATCATCAGCATCATCATCATCATCATCATCATCATCATCATCATCATCATCATCATCATCATCATCATCATCATCATCATCATCATCATCATCATCATCATCATCATCATCATCATCATCATCATCATCATCATCATCATGATCATCATCATGATGATCATCATCATCATCATCATCATCATCATCATCATCATCATCATCATCATCATCATCATCATCATCATCGTCAGCATCATCATCATCATCATCATCATCATCGTCATCGTCATCGTCATCTTCATCGTCATCGTCATCGTCATCGTCATCGTCATCGTCATCGTCATCACCATCATCATCATCATCATCATCATCATCATCCATCACCACCACCACCCCACCATCACCACCACCATCATCATCATCATCATCATCATCATCATCATCATCAGCATCATCATCATCATCATCATTATCTCATCATCACATCATCATCATAATCATCATCATCAGCAGCAGCATCATCATCATCAGCATCATCAGCATCAGCATCATCAGCATCATCATCAGCATCATCATAAGCATCATCATCATCATCATCATCATCATCATCAGCATCAGCATCATCATCATCATCATCACCATCATCATCAGCATCATCATCCTCCTCCACCTCCTCCTCCTCCTCCTCCTCCTCATCATCATCATCATCATCAGCAGCAACAGCAGCATCAGCATCATCAGCATCATCAGCATCATCAGCATCATCATCATCATCATCATCATCATCATCATCATAATCATCATCATCGTCATCAGCATCATCATCATGATCATCATCATCATCATCATCATCATCATCATCATCGTGATCATCATCATCATCATCATCATCATCAGCAGCAGCATCAGCATCAGCATCATCATCATCATAATCATCATAGCATCATCATCATCAGCAGCAACATCATCATCAGCAGCAGCATCATCATAATCATCACCGTCATCATCATCATCATCATCGTCATCAGCATCATCATCATCATGATCATGATCATGATCATGATCATCATCATCATCATTATCATCATCATCATCATCACCATCATCATCATCATCATCATCATCATCATCATCATCATCATCATCATCATCATCATCCTTCATCCTGTTCCTCATAAATGCCCCCCCCCTCCATACCCCGAGGCGTGTCGGTAGGGCGGGCCGGGCGTTTCGCTTGATAATTTTCTCCGTGTATGATCCAGAACCATGGATGGCGGGCCATTTTCATCATGTGGCTCTCGCCTTAGCACCGAGAACATTCGTCTGAAAGTATTGCAGGAGCTTAACGGACGGAGAATGAGCATTCTCCAGAATATGATTCTCGCCTTAGCGCCGCGCACGTTCGCCTTACAAGGTTGCAAGAGTTTCACGGATGAAGGGTGGTTTCCTTCTCGAAATGAGGCTCTCGCCTTAGCACTGCGCGCATTCGTCTTACAAGTTTACAGCAGCTTCAAGGATCCTTATGATTAACGTCGCCGATGGTGTTTTGGCATGATTTCTCAGTGAGCAACAATCACGTTGATTCACGACGTCGAAGTCCTGGGAATGTTGTCCTGGCGCGATTCACGATCGTCAGGCTCGTCGGGACGCAACGGTCACGTTGATTCGCGGCGTTGAAGTCCCAGGGAGGGTGATCTGGCACGATTCAGGCTCGTCGGGACGCAGCAGTAACGGTGATTCGCCGCGTTGAAGTCCCAGGGAATGTGTTTTCGCACAGTCGAGGTTTTTCAAACGGTTGCCCTCAAACGGGGCACTTCCCGCAGTTTAAAAAAAGCCTCATAGGGACCTATGAAGAGGGAACTCGGCGGGAGGGTTTACGGCAATATCGTTGATGCGTCTTGGGTTTACACTGGTCCTCCTCCACCTTCTCCTCTTCCTCCTCCTCCTCCTCCTCCTCCTCCTCCTCCTCCTCCGCCTCCGCCTCCTCCTCCTCCACCTTCTCCTCTTCCTCCTCCTCCTCCTCCTCCTCCTCCTCCTCCGCCTCCTCCTCCTCCTCTTCCTCCTCCTCCCCCTCCCCCTCCTCCTCCGCCTCCTCCTCCTCCTCCTCCTCCTCCCCCCCTCTTAACCTCGTGAATCGCGCCGAGCGATGCGCGACGCTCAATTATCTTCACACACTCGCTCCGTCCACCGGCGGAGGCCAAGTCGTCGGCCCCGCCCGCGACGCGCGAAGGGCGGCTGTCTTCGCGCCCCCAGGGTTGACCCAGCCCCTGGAGGCACAAGCCCCTTATCACAACAAAAAAAAAAGGATTTCCTATATTCCTCAATATCTTCTCTGAAATCAGCGTCTGTTTGTGCCTGTGCCTATTGTCCCCTCCTGGCCGTCTCCCCCCTCAGAGCACCCCCTCCTCGACTCCAGGCCAGTGCGCCCTTCCTGCACGCGCTCTGAGCGCAGCAGGAGATGGTAGAAGAGTGCCGATCCCCGCGACATCACGGACATGGTGATCACCGCAACGAGCCCCTTGAATGGGTCGGCGTCCTCCGGGCGAGGGTTCGAGGGCCACCGGAGGGACCCGAACCTCAACAACTGGAGGAAGCAACAACGGCATGAACATAAACTTTCGGAGGTCCGCGCGGGTTTCATGGATCCGCGCTGAACCCCCCTCCCTGCCACGCGGAGCACGCTAAGGGCGGCCCCCGAGGCGCCGCCAGGTGGGTCCAGCGCAGATCCAAGAGATCCTCGCGGACCTCCGAAAGTTTATGTTCATGCCGTTTTTTGTTGCTCTAGTTGCTGAGGTTCCTCAATGTCTATGTCGATGACTCTTCTGTGGAAAAGCAAGAGGCCCGAACCTCCAGAGAGTGGAGGGAGCAAGCCTCCAGAGGGGGGAGGACTTCCCCTGCTCGCTGTTCTCCCTCCTCCTCCTCCTCCTGCTGCTCCTCCTCCTCCTCCTCCTCCTCCTCCAACTCCTCCTCCTCCTCTTCCTCCTCAGAGGCTTGGAACGCTCTGGGCGGGCGGATCTACAGCTCTGTGTGAGCCTTGACGGGAGCGTGCCGCGGGCAGGGCGCCCACGGGCAGGCGACGGCAAGGAGGGGGGGGAGGAGGTGCGGGTGCAGGGGAGGGACCAGGAAAGCACGAGGGAGAGACCGGGGGGGGGGGGGCACCAGGGCCAGGGGGGAACTGGAGCCAGGGCCAGGGACGAACGCGACGACCACGGCGAAAATAAAAAAGGTACGCCCCCAGAGCGCCCAAGAGCGCCCCAAGAGGGGGTGAAATGTGATCTCCTCCCCTCCGTTGATCGATGGCCTCCAGGGGGGGACCAGGATAGACGCTCTCGGCGGCGAGCCGAGGGGGGGGAAGCGAGAAGGGGCGGGCCTTTTCGGAAGGCTCGGAAGTCCGCCAGCCTTCTGAGAAGTTTCCTAAGCCTTCTGCGAAGACATAGAAGACTTCAGAGGGCTTCTGAGAAGCCCCACCGCCTTCTGAGAAGGCAGTATCCTTCTCACATCCCCCCCCCCCGCTCGCGGCCGACGACAGCCGAGACGGCCGCCCGCCCGAACCGGTGCAGCCGCTCGCTTCTCGGCCGCGGACGGCGGTTGGGTGAGCCTTCATGGGAGCCTTAGTGGACCTTCGCGGCCCCATCAGAAATTTTCGGCCAGATGTCGTTCAGATTTCGACCACCTTTCTTCACCATTTCGTCCAGCTGTCTTCCAGTTTTCGTCCAGTCCAGATACCGACCAAATCCGACGAAACACGGCCGAAATCCAGACGAAATCCTCAAAACCCGCAAGGACTTGTGGGACCCTCTGGGGCACCCATGAGGACCACACAATACAACTCCGTGCGAAAACTGTAAAACGCCTCCTCCAAACCCACGTCTCTGGCCCACGTCAGTTCAAATATTGTGCTGGGGTGCGCGAGGGGCGTGGTCAGAATTCGCACGGGTCGGGGATGAGCTGACTCTGGTCAGTGCTAAACCGGGTCGGCCAGGGTCATGACGCGAACCGGGGCTGGTCCTGGAGTAGTTCACAAATCTGGGGCAGCGGAGGGAGGTGTGGGGGAGGTCGGCCCCACACGCCTCCCAAAGCCGCGCCATCCAGAGGAGATTGGGAGGGACTGGCTGACCCCCGCTGCCCGCGCCCCGAACGGAGGGGGGACGAGGAGAAGTCGACAGTAGATTGGGACAGCCGCAGACATGGCTCTGGATCTCCTTCCACCATCTTCACTGGCCGCCCACGGAGATCTAAAGGCATCGCAGACTGCCCATGCCCATGCCCGTAGCGCCTACTCCTCATCCGCCTCCCCCTCTCCTCCTCCTTCTCCTCCTCCCCCTCCTCGAGCGAACCGTCGCCAATTCCCGATCAGGTGGCATCTCAGTGTCGCCAAGATCTCGCCTCACTCTCCTCCTCCCTCAACCCCCACTCCCTCCTCTTCCTCCTCGTCTTCTTGTCAGTAGTATTGGCATTATTCTTGGAATAGTTAATAGAAGTATGTGTCCGAATAATATGACTCTCAGTACTAGTATCATGCATACTAGTAGTACCAGTGTCAGCGCTTGGCTAGTAGTGGTATTAAAAGTATGTGCGTGATGAGTACTAATATTTTATTAGTAGTATAAGTATTAGCATTATTAGTAGTAGTACTACACTTATTAGTTGTAGAATTAGTAGTATTAGAGTGGTATTACGAGTGTTATTCCTTGTAATATTACTATTATGACTGACGACATTGTTGGCAGTCTAGTACGAACCACATTCTGATTCGTATGAATAAATGTAACAAATATTCTTATCAGTCTGAGCATTTGTGAGTATAGTGGTAATACTAGTATCATCATTGAACATAATACACCTAATATGGTTACTCGCACTATTAGCATCATTATGATAAGTTGTTGCATCATTCTGAGTACTAACACTATGATTGTTATAATTGGTGGTGTGCTGTATCTTCATATGTTTATGATTAGTATTAATACATCATTATTCGTAGTATCCGTATAAGTACTGTTGTTTACCGTCTTAATCGTAATATGATTCGCCCTCTTCGTATGATGAGTAGTAGCACGATTGATCGTATTAGTACTAATATTATTCGTATTCTTCTTATTATTGCTCCTCCTCCTCCTCATCATCATCCTCCTCCTCCTCCTCCTCCTCCTCCTCCGCCTCCTCCTCCTCCTCCTCCTCCTCCTCACCCCCCCTCCACATCCTCCTCCTCCTCCTCCTCCTCCTCCTCCTCCTCCTCCTCCTCCTCTGACTCCGACTCTGACACCGAATCCGACTCCGACTCCCACTCCGACTCCGACTCCGTTTCCGGCTCCTTCTCCCCCTCCTCCTCCTCTTTCTCCTCCTCTTTCTCTTCTTGCTATATATACATTCTGGTAGCGATACAGTTATTAACATGCAGCTGATCTGCTCTGATTATTAGTACAATTCATAAATGATCTAATAATGATATGTTTAGTTGTATCAATATTAGCATTAGCATTCGTATTAGTACTAGTATGAGTATTGGTATTCGCGTGAAGATTAGTATGAGTATGAGTTTTACTATTAGAAATAATATGAGTACTAGTATTGGTACGAGTATGTGTATGAGTATGAGTCTTAATGCTACTATTAAAAATAGTAGTCGAACTTTTGTAAATATTGTTATGAGTTCTACTTTTCATAGTCTAGCTATTATGAGCACTGCTATCATTCTGAATATGAGTACAATTAGTTTGATGTTTATCAGTATTATCCGTATTATATTCGTAATATGATTCATCTGCTGCTTATTGTTCTTCGTCCTCCTCATCCTCCACCTCCTCCTGCACCTCCTCCTCCTCCTCCAACTCCTACTCCGCCTCCTACTCCTCCATCTCATGCTCATCATCACGCTCATCCGCATGCTCATCATCCACCTCATCTTCATCACTATCGTCATCGTCATAGTCATCATCGTCACCAATATCATCATCGTCATCGTTATCGTCATCGTCATAGTCGTCATCATCATCAAGCTCATACTCATCCTCATCCTCATCCTCATCCTCCTCCTCCTCCTCCTCATCATCATCATCATCATCATCATCATAATTGTCATCATCATCATCCTCAGCAGCAGCATCGACATAGTATTCATCATCGTCATCATCACCCTCTCCACCATCATCACCATCATCAACCTCATCATCACCATCATCATCATCATCATCATCGTCATCATCATCATAGTATCATAGTCAGCATCAGCATCATCATCCTCATCATCAGCAGCATCATCAGCATCATCAACGTCATCAGCACCAGCATCATCATCATCATCATCGTCGTCGTCATCATCACCGTCGTCATCATTTTCATCATCATCATCCTCATCATCAGCCGCAGCAGCAACATCATCATCGTAATCCGTAATCGTCATCATCATCATCATAATCCTCATCCTGCTCGTGATCATGATCAGCATCATCAACAACAACATCATCGTCATCATCAACAGCAGCATGATCATCATCAGCATCATCATTGCCATCGTCATCGTCACCCTCCTCCTCATCATCATCGTCGTGGTTGTCATCGACATCGTCATCGACATCGTCATCGCCATCGTCATCAGCACCAGCATCATCATCATCACCATCATCACCCTCATCATCATCGTCATCATCCTCATCATCCTCATCATCATCATCATCATCATCATCATCATCATCATCATCATCATCATCATCATCATCTTCGTCGTCATCATCATCGTCATCATCTTCATCACTATCGTCATCGTCATCGTCATCGTCATCATCGTCACCAATATCATCATCGTCATCGTTGTCCTCGTCCTCCTCATCCTCCTCAACATCAGCATGACCAGATGACCAGCAGCAGAAGCATAAACATCGTAATGATCATCACCACCACAACCGTCGTCAGCATCGTCATCATCGTCGTCATCACCATCATGATCGAAGCCATCATCAACAGCAGCATGACAAACATCATCATCAGCAGCAGCATCATCAGCATCATCGTCATCGTCAACATCATCATCAGCAGCATCGTCATCGTCATCGTCATCGTCATCATCATCATCATCATCATCATCATCATCATCATCATCATCATCATCATCATCATCATCATCGTTAAAGTCATCATCATCCTCATCATCATTATCGTCGTCGTCATCATCGTCATCGTCATCGTCATCAGCATCATCGTCGTAGTCATCGTCATCATCATCATCATCATCATCATCATCATCATCGTCGTCGTCGTCGCCGTCCTCAACATCATCATCATCATCATCACCATCATCATCACCATCATCATCACCATCATCATCACCACCATCATCATGATCATGATCATGATCATCATCAACATCATCAGCATCATCCTTATCAGCCTAATCCTCCTCTTCCTCCTCCTCCTCATCAGCAGCAGCAGCTGCGTCATCATCACCACCGCCATCATCATCACCACCGTCTTCATCCTTGTCATAATCAGCAGCAGCAGCATGATTCGATGCCGCATCCGAGATCCGAGACGTTGGTAAGATTTCGCTGGCGTCTGGGAACGGTCCCGACTTTACTGTGGCGGGGGGAACCAACAAGGCTCCCGAAAGGCTCCAAGCAGCCCTGGTGCTCTGAGAAAGCGGTCTGCCAGAAGAGACCAAAGAGCTCATTGAGTAAATGGCCAGCGGCAATACAAGACGCGCGATGTTTCTAAGTGCACCTGGCTGATCTGACACGCTTTAGCATGGAAGAAGTTGTCTCGGCCTAGTTTCCTTTCCAATTGTGGAGGGACTCCTGCGGCGCCCCAGAGGACCCTTGAGGGCCCCATCTCGTCTTGCCTGCCATGATACGACTGGCAGAATGAAGTGGTGGGAATGCTACGCATTTGACCATGGACCCATAGCTACCCACCGACATTGAGCTGTTTTTGGCGGTTTCTGGCGGTCTCGTGACGGTAGTGCTCGGCTGTCTTCGGTGGCGTCCGGCGGTCTTCGGCGCAAGAGATGGACGGCCGCGTTCGACAGGGGTCCACGAACGAACACCTACGCACAGGGACGGGGCGCGGACCGGACACGGGAGCTTACTCGAGCTGGCGCCCAGATCTGGACACCAGGAACGGGGCTGGGACCTGGACGGGGAGGAAGAGAAAATGTTCGTCAACCTGTACTCGGGTGCGCCGAAGAGGGGGGGGGGGCCAGGAAGAGATCGAAGGTCGAAGCCGTCAACGCCCGGGGGGTGGCCCGAAGACGGGCGAGAGGCGTGCTTAGTACGCTGGCCCTTCGAAAAGGACCGGTGGAACTGCTGCGAATGATAACGCGTGAGAGAATTACAGCCAGACGCTGCTGCGAGGAAGCGAGACACAGCCAAGCGCTGCAGCGACGAGGCCAAGCACCCCACCGCAAGATGACGACGAAGGGAGGATGACGACGAAGGAGGTCGGCACATCTTGGCCCGAGACTGCGCGCTGACGGGGGTGGGCCAGGGGACGTGATCAAAGAGAAGAGGGCCATGAAATCACGGCCCTGGCCGTGACATGAGGCCAAATCCCGGAAGCCACCGCGAGAGGGTGGGAAGGGAAGCTGGTTGAACTCGCTCTAACGGTTTCAAGTCATCGCAATGAAGCAATGAGTTGATTTAGTTCTGAACGCGGACGCCGACGTCTGAGTTCAAGGAGACTGTGTGAATGCGGGAATGCAACATGCACTTGCCCACCACATCGAAATCCTTGCCTTTTCCCATTTCCCTTCCTCATCCTCTCCTCCACCAGCCCTCTTTTCACTCTTGTCCCCCACCCCTCCCGCCCGATGCTCTGCGCATGTGGGGATCAGATCAGGGTGGCCACCCTCGTTCCGTCCTGTCCCTCTTCCTGTGCTTCCTGTTGACGATGATGGCAGTAAAGCGAGCGGTATTGTAACCACGACGATAAGTGCATTCGGCAGAAATCCCGCCACAACTCTTTCTCTGGGCGCAGCGCGTTCCGCGCGCGCACGCGCAGGGCCGCGGCTGACAGCTCGCGGCCCAGGGTCAGGACTCGGGGAAACGCGTCACCCCCCTGTTCGACGCCTGATGGGTTTCGGGTCATGACTTGGCTTTCTGGCGGCCATCCGGGACGACCCGCGGGAAGCTCTGCACAAAGTGCAGCTGCTGGAGAGCAGCCCCAAGGCGGGAAAACCTCCCAGAACCAACGACGAAGCCTTCCCAAAATTTCCGATATCCTCACCCCCCCCCTCTTGGACGTCCCTAGGGCGAAGGCTCAGGCGAAGGCAAAGGCAGCACCCAGCGCTCTTGCCCTGATGAGGATGCAGGGGGGACATCGACGACCCACCAAGGGGCGCGTCGAGCGAGACCGCACAGCCCAAGGCGCCCGAAGCCGCTGCGGAGCCCGAGCCTGATGGCACTGGCGGTGGGCTGGCGGGGCTGCCTGGTCCTACCCCGGTCCTCGGCCCAGCTCCTGGACGCCCTCGGCCTGCCTGGGCCCTCTCAGGGAGAGCCTGAGGGCCCCGGCCTGGCCCTGCCTCCTGCACACATGGCGCTCTGGGCACTCGGGGAGCGGGGAGCTGAGGCTTGGACGCGGACGCGGGTCTGGATCGATGATCCTCAGAACGTGTGCTAACGCCAACGTGTGTTGATCGACCGAGGCCCTGCAATGCGACGCAAGCGCTGCATCGTTGGCCGAAACAGGCTGCTTGCTATCCGTGGAGCTGGACAGGGTAACCACACATTTGTCCAACATATCTCCTGGGGATCATCGATTGGACCAGGACCGGGCTGGGGAGGAGGGGGGCTGGTGTGGAGGCGAGAGCGAAGCGGACCTGAGAGGAGGGCGACCAGACAGGACGGCCGCCCAGATCCCCACTGTCCATGTCGACGGCGCCGCGGGTCTGAAGGGGCCCTGGGACACACAAATAAATACACACTAACAACAGGATTCCCCACACATTCTCATATTTTCTGGGTTTTTGTCTTCCCCCCCACTTCCCATATTTTCCTATATTTTCCTGGGAATCGACGATCAATTGTGTGTGTGTTTCTTTCCCTCCTGAGCGTCTGCGATCAGGGAATGCGCCTTCGAAAGCACCCGACGGATGTTGCGCCTGACTGCCAGCCGCGCAGCATTGGCTCCTTCCCTCGCCTGACCACCAGAGCAAGATGGTATGGTCCTCGTTCTTGTTGCTCACGGCCTTGCACATCGATGCCTCTACCTGCGCGGCTAGCTTTCACAGCTAGAACGGCGCATCTCCTAAAGGCAGCATGCGGAAATGCAGGCGCTCGTTTGTGATCTGACTCGAGGAGGCTGCTCTTCCCCAGTGGAGAAGCGTTGATGAACAAGAGAGAAGTGAAGACGGCGACCAGAGCTCCCAGGGAAAAGGAAGGGCACGGAAGCAGGTATGGAGGACTAGACTGGAAGACTTGGTGAAAGTGCCTGAACTCTGAGCTCAATTATCCATTTTCGGGTTGAGCGAGTGTGGATCCAGCAGCCTTCACTCGATAACATCTACACGGATGAAGGGTGGAACGTTCCCAAAACCTGGCCATGGCCTGAGATCTCTCCACAACTTACGATCGTAAAGCTGGAAACCTCCATCAACTCTACGGATGGAGTGCGGCTCCATGTCGTAATCCGGCTCTCGTCTGAGATTTCCCCACAACCTTTTGACCAAGAGACTCGAGCGTCCCATCGACTTCGTGGATGGAGGGCGGAACCTGTTCGAGCTGAAAAAATCACGCCCGAGAGCTCATCATAGCTACTGGCCCAAGAGCTCGAAACATCTCCGAGGCAGGCGCCTCGCGCTGACGCTCCCGCACGGGCGCCGCCGACGAGACCTCTGCCCGCTGCACGGATTGGGGGCGACTCCCTCTCAGACTCACTGCGCTCTGGCACGCCACGCCGCGATCGCCGATCTGCGTCGCGCAGAGCCGGCGAGGCTCCCACCGAGCTGGTGCTGAGGCAGCGACATGCGCTCGGACCTCGCAACGTGCTCGACGAATGCCGCACCCTGCCCCCGCCGCCCGCAGAGCTGCCTGGCTCGCTGCGCGGCGAGGGTAGGGCTCGGATTTCGCAACCGAGGCGTGCACTTTGGTTGATCATCCGACACACGATCGGGAACTTTTGCTTAGCGCGTCGCGGCGGCGGCCCCGGCGACACGATGCCATGCGAGCGGAGGGCGTGTCGCTCCGCTCCGCGGCGCGGGAGGCTCGGAGAGGCTCGGGACGCCGAAGCCTGGGGACTGGGAAGCGGGCTCGATGGTTCAAAGATGAGGTCATGGGGGATGCGGACCTAGGGATACAGTCGGACTTGATTGGAGAGGACACGCGAGAGGACACAAGACCCTTCTGGGGGCCACGTTGCCACAGAAATGCAGGAGGCATGGGTCGCAAGACACAGGACACGAGGGTACCCTTGACCTGGCAGGCCGACCCACCAATCCGGGCCGCCTGTAGGAAGGGATCCGAGGCTGGATCTACGCTGGTTGAGGCACCTCGTCCTTACAAGATTCGTCAAACATGAATGGACGGTTTTGTTTTCGGCGCTGGCGCGGTCGGTGCTGCTTCAATGCTGGCATGAAGCGTTTGGCCCTCACACAAGGGGTGTCCGAAATCTAGCAGTTCCCTCAGTGCCCGAACCATCGGGCGCTTCGATGCTTGACAGCGACTCAATCTACTTTTGACGAGGCCCGCAGGGCCCCATCCTTTAGGATGGCAACCCTGGAACCACCGATGGACAGCGTGCCGCGCCGCCGATTCTTGCCGCTCACCAGCGGGCCTCTCCGCAATTCGGCCACACGCAAGACTTGCCATCGCTCGGACGTCCATTCCCCGTGCATTTTTCGATTTCGTGCGTGCTTTCTTGGCCAGATGATCCCGGATGCTCTCGGATGGTCCTCGCCGAAGGAAAGTCGCACACGTCCGAGCGATGCCAAGAAGAGTGACCCTGGGCAAGAATGACTTCTGGTGCGCGGCTCCACGGGGGACGCGGGGTGGCCAAACCTGGGCTCGCAGGCCGCTGCCACCGCTTCGCGCTCAGCGGCCCAGGGGCCCCACTGGTAAGACGAAGGGAGGACGAGGATAAATTCGGGTGAGGATAAAGCGAGAATCTCTGAGATCCGGCGGCTCTGGAGGATGCCTCGGGCGCCGCAGCCTTCTCGGAGCGTCTCGGAACGCTCTGTAACGGATTTGTCCTCGTCCTCGCCCCGTCCGAATTGGGCCCGCGCACAAGATTTCACTCCAGCGGAAGGTCACCCTTGCACGTCGTTCATTTCTAACCGTGCTCATTTCAAAATTGTGCTCGTTTTGAATTGTTCCTGGCCCCCTAGTGGCCAGGTAGAGGCCCAGGATAGCACAATTAGAAATGAAAGGATCTTGGCCCCCCATAAAGTCAAAAAACTTTCGAAGAAGTAGAAATGAACAATCTGTACGTCTTGTCGAGCAGTGCTCCCAGAGAGGGGGGGGCCACGGGTCGGCACCGCCGTCCCGGCCCTCCCTGGCTGCCGAGCCCGCGGGGGGGCCACGGGGCCCCCGGCTCTCTGCGGCGGAAGCTCGCAGAGGCGAGGAGACGTGCCATCGCTCGGACGTACATTCCCCGTGCATTTTTCGATTTCGCGCGTGCTTTCTTGGCCACAGGATCTCGGATGCTCTCGATGGTCCTCGCCGAAGGAAAACCGCACACGTCCGAGCGATACCAGGGAGGGGTGCCTACGCCTGTCCTCATTTTGTTCCATCCCCGTGGGCACCTGCAGAGCAGAGCCTAGAACCGCACCGAAGTCCAGGCCGATGATCGGGGGCGGCCAAGAGGGGGGCGTCCAAGGGGGATGAGGGCGCAAATCATGGGCCGAGGCATGTGCGCGGACCAGGGAGGGGCCAGGGAGCGCATTGAAATAAGAGGAGGGGCCATAAAATCTGGGGAGATATCATGGCCCTGGCCATGATATCCACCCCCCCTAGTCTTCATCCCCCTCGTGGCCGCTCCCGAGATGAGGCGGAACTCGGGGCAACACTGGAACCGCCCCAAAAGCCCGCAGGAGACACAGGGGCCCCGCGCCTGCCCTGATTTGGCGGGAGGCTCGACTTGGGAGGGCGCGTGCGCAGCACGGGTGGTGTGCGCATGCGGGGTTTGCTCCAACCCTCCTCCTCCTCCTCCTCCTCC